CAGACAGACAGACAGACAGACAGACAGACAGACAGACAGACAGACACACACACACACACACACACACACACACACACACACACACACACACACACACACACACACACACACACACACACACACACACACACACACACACACACACATACACACACACACACACAGACAGTTAGACACACACACAGATAGACACATACAGATAGACGAACAGACAGATAGCCACACACAGATACACACACAGATAGACACACAGACAGTTAGACACACAGACAGTTAGACACACAGACAGTTAGACACACAGACAGATAGACACACAGACAGATAGACACACAGACAGATAGATGCACAGACAGACATGATGACAGATGACAGATAACACACAAACAGACAGACACACACAAACAGACAGACACACACACAGACACACAGACAGACACACAGACACACACACTCACAGACACACAGACACACACACTCACAGCACACAACACACACACACATACAGACACACACACACAGACACACACACTCACAGACACACACACACAGACACACACACACACAGACACACACACAGACACTATTGGAACACCAGTCAACAAATTCTTAAAATGATTCTTAATGCAGGAGAATGTATTCAAGAAGGAGGAGCAGCCAAAGGAACTGTCTGGCCTTGAGTTGGCAAAGGCAATGAGGGACTTCAAGAGGCGACGGCAGGCATATAGAACGAAGGTCTCGACAAAAAACAAAAGTCATACAGAAGTAGGTTCTACTTAAAATTTTTCTATATATTTTTTAGTTGTTTGTTTGTATATTGATGTCCAGTCCCTTTCATCATTCATATATTCTGTATAGATATTTTGTTCTTGAAATAACAGGTATATTATATGAATGAAAGTAATACACCTGACTTTTTAATGGCATAGATGCTACAGAAAATGCATAATCCTATATTTTTTCTTGATTTTGCACTTTTGCAACAGTGTTGTAATGCTTATTGTAAACTTTTATTGTAAAGGAAAAAGTATTTAGCTAACCTGTGCCAGATGTATAACTATTACCATGAATGTTCCTATATGATTACTGAAGTATGTTTGTTACTTCATGTTAGTTTTAGGTCTCCAGTAATTATTCCTTACTATTTGGAACTTTAACATGGCTTTTATTTCTCTCTCAGGTGGCTAGAGAAATAATACACAACATGATGGTGTATATAGGAGCTACAGAATTAGAAACCGATGCTCCTCATCAAACTTCTGAACTCCGAGATGAAATTGGCAAGGAGGGAGAGCATCCTAGTGACCAAAAGGACTGCGTCACCCACAGCAGGAAAGAGAGTGCTAGTTCTTCCAGAGATGACAGCAGCCCATTTAGAAGGTCTTATGATCGTGGTGATGAGAGAGACAAGCATGATAGGCGAAGAGAGCAGGAGAGTGACAGTAGATATAATAGAAGAGTAGACAGAGGTGATAGCAATGAGTCAAGGAAGAGGAACAGAGGAGAGGGTAGAGAAGAAGAAATAGCTTATAGGAGGGCAGATAACCGTGAGAGGTGTGATTATGAAGTGAGGGAATATAGAAAAAATAGTAGCAGATGGGGAAGCAGTTTTGATGAGGCAAGAGATGACAAACAGCTAGACAGGAGGAGAGAGAGGGAGGGAGACTATAAAAGAGAAAAGGAAGGTGTGCACAGAGGAAGAAGTAGAGAAGAAAGATCATGGGAAGAAAGTGGAAGAGAGAAAGTAAAAGAAAGGGATAAAAGATATATAAGTGAATTTGAAAAAGATTATTACAAGGATAGAAAGGAAAGAGAAAGACAGAAATACCACTCTGAATACTACTGTCCAGAAGGAAAAGAGAGGAAATATGAGACAGAGAGGGAACATTATTCAAACAAGATGGAAGGTAGGTATGGAGAAAGGAATGAGAGGGAATTTAAAAAAAGAATTAAAGTTGAAAAGCATACAGAGGATGGAGAGCTGTCAAGCTCAGAATCAGAGAAGAGGGGCAGCTCATATGAACGAGAGAGCACTTTGACAGACCACAAGAAGAAGCGGAAAATGAAAAAGAAAAAAAGCAAGAGAAAACACAAGAAGAAAAAATCCAAAAGCACTCACAGACATTGCAGTAAATCAGATAGTGAGGATCTGTCATCTGAGGAAGAGCATCAGAGATATTACAAAAAAGTTGATGGATATGTGAAAGAAGAAAAAATATAGTAGCATTTACAAGTGTTTGACATGAGCACATGAAAACCAGTGCAACAAAGGCTCTGTCAATTTTCTCAAACCTGTAATAAGTACAAGTTATCATAAATAATAAATGTGATTATTCCTTCATCTTCTCATTCACTTGTTGCTGGGTTCTTGTTCTTATACTTATTATTCTTGTTCTTGTTGATATTGTTTTCTGGACATCATTTGCCTAGTCATCTGAAAGTCCAATTTTCCAAAGCCTTTTGTAGGATTTTAAAGATTATTCCTGAAATGTTTTATTCTAATACCAGATGATGTATTTTGAGCTAAATAAAGGAGAAGTTAAAATTTCCGGAGATTTGTTAATTTTACCTTCATTTTCTGCTCTTTCCTTTCTCCTTGTATTACATTTTTTTTCTCTTTCATGTAGCTTGTAATGATTACTATATCTATGTCACATTTCTTCCCATTTAACAGTATATGATTTTCCTGCAATTTCATTTTATATTGTCTGTGTAAATTGGTGTTAACTGTTAAATGATGTGCATCCTATATTTAGAAATGCTTGAAGATGTAGAAGATAAAAAGCAAATTGTACCAATATTTCCACAAGACACCTGGGAATGGTTGTGATGTTTTTCTCGTGTATAGATTTTGATTTTTAAGATTCCAAAATTGTAGCTATGTTTTATGCAGACTGAATTAAAGTAAATAGAATTGAGGATTTAGTGCTCTAATCTGGCAAATCTGTATCTGACCATATGAAGGCATGTGTCCAAAGACTATTCTCAGACTAATTGTCTTTTTAAATGTTTTATTAGTTTAAGCCTTCAGCTATAACGTAAACATCGATATACTTAAGTTTGTGTGCTTCATCTAATTACTGTAGTGCACTAACATGAACACATAGATATTATAGATAAAAGTTTAAACTAACAAAACATTTGATAAATGCAATTGCTTGGAGAACACCTACGGGCATGCATACCCTCATAAGGTATGTTTTTAAGGGTAAAGTATATTATAGTTAACTGTTCATGGCTTTGCAGTCTATATTTGTAAAGGTTTCTTCTTGGTTTACCGATGTGAACATTATGATGAAGAAAAGTTGAGATTCAAAGGAATAACTATACTAATAATTAATATAATGTGTTATTGATAAGCAAGTATTTAGTATACAGATAGACAATGCATAATATTTAGTAATCAGAAAAAGAAATGGTTAAAAGTGTATGAAAGTATATTTAGAATTAACAGAACTAGACTGGCTCATTTTCTTAAAATATTGTCTTTATGTTGTCTTTGGTCATCAGTATATCACAAAATGGATTGGAATGTAATACTACACAGTGTTTGATCTTCCCTCATTTAAATATTTATTTATGACAAAATATTTTATGTTTTTTTCAAAGTGAATATTTGTTCATACCACAGAAATTCCCTATTAAAAAAAGATAATGAAAAAAGTATAGCCTGTATGTTCCCTTATGTTATATTGTACTGAAAGACACACACACACACACACACACACACACACACACACACACACACACACACACACACACACACACACACACACACACACACACACACACACACACACACACACACACACACACACACACACACAAAAAGCTAAACGCAAATAAAAACGCGAATGTAAAATTACCGATATCTAAAAATTTCCCAGGCGATCTGCAGGTACTTCTGAAGTACAGAAAATTGCCAGTACATCCTACGTGAAAATACATAAGGCATAAATACGTGACAGAGAGCCTGAAAACAATCCCAGAACAACCCCAGCTACTGTATATCGAATACCCTGCAGCAGATGCGATAAGGCATACTTTGGTGAAATGAGACGTGGTTTCAACACCAGGATCAGTGAACATCGGTCTGAAGTCCGTCACTACAGGACTTCCAAACGCCATGGTGGTTCATGAATCAGAACAGATACCAGACTGAAAGGAGGCAGAAGTAAACCAAAATAAGCAAACAGCAAAAAGAAATTATACATCGCGACGGAGGAGAATGTCAACACACGTCGGGCAGCTTCAAATTGTAGAAGATCGCGGCTGCAACTATGCGTTTAATGAGCATGAGGTCACGGTCTTCAAGTGATTCATCGGCTCACGTCTGATATCTATTAACATCAGTAGTTTCACTGATGTATTTATTTCCGACGAAGGTATATTCGAAACCGGTCAAATACAACTCTTGTGAAGCTGTTCATTCCCATTCATACCTTTTCTACATGTCAACGTGAATATGGGAAAGATGTTTATATTTTTCAATATAAAGTTTGGGATTCAGTAATAGTAAGAATTTGAATACTAAGTATTAAAGGGTAAATTTGCATGACATTCTTGAATCTTTTTGCCCATTTTTCATTTCACAATTCTTTCTTAATCTCATTGTTTTATCATCGCCATCATTATTATTATCATCAGTATTTTTTATTATTGTGATTATTGTCATTATCTAAATGATTTTTCATTTTGTTCTTATTACCAAATTATTACTGCTATGATTATAATATTCCTCCTATTACTGATAGCCTTGTACTCTAATTTAAACAGAATTTATTTTCAATTTTCTGAAAAAAAAATTATACGCTTCAACTTTTACTGTATCAACTCCTACAGTATCACATTCATCATACAAACAGTAAATCATATAATTCATGCAATGTCTCTCAGTTATATCTAAACCCAACGAGGTACCATTTACATTTCTAAAACACCACGTTCCATTTTAATAGTTAATTTACAAAGGGGATTAATGATTCTCTGCCAACAGTTATTTACAGTCTAGTAACTTAAGCGCCCAAACGTGACGTCATTGGAAAAAGTCGATAGTGTTTACTAAAAGGAGGAACAAACGAAATTTCCTCCCTACATGTAAAAGTGAAACAAGAATGAAGTGATCCTGAAATAGTCCCGAAAACGAAGAGAACAAAGGGACGTAGCTTAATCACAAGAACAATCGGAAGAATTAAAGAAACCGGACGGAAGTAGCAGCTGACATTTCAGCAGGTCTGCGAGAAACGCCACATCGAAATAAAAGCAAGTAAATCGAGACATATTTGTTTGATTAAATGGAGAATTATGTAACTTAGCTTTTCAACAATTTAATAGAACGAACAGAAGAAGTCAATGAATCAGTATTCCAAATATACATCATAGAGGACACAGGGAGAATTCTAGAACATGGAGAGCCTAAAATCCTGTAAAAGTACAAAGAAAGGAAAAAGTATTTAGGATAGAGTAAAGCAATGGAATTTGAGGTAAATGATATATCAAAAATTAAACTACTAAAATACAACATATAGGTGACTGACACTTTAAACACTTTAGGACACTTTGAATTGTAAACAACAAGAATCCAGTATAATTAACAATTTACTTTTTCCAAGCCACAAAAGAATTAAATCTGGATAATGTAGACAATGATAGAATAATTAACAGAACAAAATTAACAAAGGCAAAAACAATGACAAAAATATGGCTCCCATAAAATAACCGGAAAGTGGATAACATTGAGTAAATTGAGTAAAAAAAAGATATGGAATGGTTACCTTGACATTAAATAAGACACTTTTCATCTATGGTGTAAGATATGGCTAGGACTTTGGAAGTGTTAACTTGCAAAATTATAGAGATGTGTAGCAAGTATAGGCAATAGTATTATTGTTAGCAACATACTGTTTTTGTTGTGATGATAATTCACAATGTACCAAAAGACTGTAGACATAAAACAAAACAACAGAACTAGAAATAACATAGAGACAAAGTTAAAAAAGTGGCAGATGAATTCAATTTAAAAATAAGAGCACTGAATTATGAATGATAGTAACAATAAGCATAACAATACATATCTTAGAAAAAACAGCAACACAATCATAAAACAGGTGCAAAAGTCAAACACTCAATAGACACAAATGAAAAACACTCAAAAATACAAATGAAGTGCAAACAAGTATTTCCTTGGGCTGATTACAACAAAAATACTTGTAAAGTAAAATACTAAACATCATCATTAAATCACAACAGGGAAATTAAAAATAACAACATCATCAGAAGTTCATGTAGAATTACGTTACTAAATAACCAGTGCAATTATATAACAAAAAGATCAGGGAATACTTAATGGAACAAATAGATGAACCCAATTTTTTGTCTGGAAGCCTTATTACTCATCATTGCCAGTGGCATCCAATGATAGTAAATTAAATGTTTTTGTAATAAGCATGAAAACACCCCAGGTTAAAGCAGCACTTAGATAAAGATCAAAAAACCTTTCTTGCATGTATTGTAAGTTCAAGAAAAAAAAGTAGATCACCTGCTGTTTCATTGCCCAAGATTCCATTCACATGCAATAATTTTTTTTGTTGCACTAATAGGAATATAAATTCTTAATCGAACAACATATCTCCTGATTACAGGTACAGATTAATCACCAATAAGAAAGTATTACATGCTGAGACAGATATCTTCTTAAGGAACACTAAAATAGATGACTTCATATATCAAGACAAAAGAACAAAGGAAGAGATAGATGAAGAAAAAGAAATAAAAACAAGGAAGATAAGAAAAGAGAAGAGAGCCAGGAATGTAGATTAATTGTAGTCAAAAAAGCTTTACAAAAAGATAAAGAATACTTATTAACATGTAAGAAATAAGTGGTAAGTTCCCAAAATTATGGGTAGCAGGTACACCCCCCACTCCTTGCACACATATACAAATTTTTATAAGAAAATAATCCATCAGTGAATAGATATAAAATAAATGCAACAGGAAGTTTAAGTATCTATAGAAATGTGGACAATACTACAGGGGTATAGATGTAGGCATAACAAATATATGATAAGTGATAAATGAAAGAAATAATGATATAAGAAGATAATGATGATAATGATAATAATGATAGTAGAAGAGATAATAATATACTTCAAACTTTATTAAATCTTTACAGTGTTGATTTACTGCAGAACAATGCAACCCATGGCAAGCAGACTGAGAATGGTGACTGCATACGATCATCATCAGCACATCACTTCACCATGAAACGATTGATAAGCTTTGGCTTCCCAAAAATCCCGATCATGCAGGGAGGAATGGCACAAAATGTTCTGTGGTTGATCGTAGCTGCGATCCTCATTACTGGAGCTCTGGGGGACTACACCACAAATTGTTCCTCCCTGCTACTGGGACAGTACCTGTGTCTAGACCTCAATATAGCGCCCGAGACCCAGCAACCACGAGGATGCAATGAAAAAGGCCGGGCAAAGGTTGTGTGTCAGGCTGCCCCAGGGATCATATGCACAGAGACAAACAATGGGACTTTTGAGCGAGAAATCCCATGCAAGTGAGTACAGTCAGCTAGCATAATAGACACTTTTCTGAAATCTGTACTTATCATTTTTTTATTTATATATTGCCAAGCCACTTTGTGGATCAATGACAATTTGACTGAACTGGTATGATATATCATTTAGTAATTCAGTATAAATGATGATCAATATTTAAAGGAATATAGACTCGAAATGCTAAATTTGTTTTTAATTTAGAAGAGTCTGTATTTGTAGGGAATTGTTAAATTAATCATTGTGTAGATTGTTTTATTCATTTGTCCCTTTGCACAGGGATGGCATTATATACATGCCATATTCACTGTGATTTTAGTTTATTAATTGTGTTTACACGTAGATGGCTCCAAAAGCAGTTGGTCAGCAAGGAGTCGATTACTAGTTCACTCATCTCTCCTGTATACCCTTTACCTTTTCTTTATTGCTATTTGTTTTTTAATAACATAATATTAATGATAATGGTAATGATAATGAAAAATGTTAATGTTAATAGCATTAATTTTGAAATGAAACAAGATTGCATTGAGCTATTAATTGACTCCTTGGAGGCTTAGGACTTGTGGAGCTATCTATGTGTAACAAAATTCATAAAAAAAACTTCAGTGGATAGTACATGTACTTGCTTACAAGAGGTTAAATGAAAGATGGAATAATGCACTGGCTGCATCGATATCATGAATGTATGAAAGTTGCATTTTTCCATGTTCTTTTACTAATTTGTTTTTCTTTTTAGATAACATTTACACTATGAATAATTGTATCTCTTAAAGTTTTATTATATTTCCTTGGCAAATAAACAGCAACTCACATGTAATACCTCATCTTCCAGATACACAAATGGATACTCATACGAAACAGCCCTACTTCTCTCAGTGTTCCTGGGCATGTTTGGGGTGGATCGGATCTACCTCGGCTATTACGCAGTTGGATTGGCGAAATTCTGCACCCTAGGCTTCCTCTTCCTGGGTCAGCTTATTGACATCATCTTAATTGCTACGCAGACAGTGGGCCCGGCCGATGGCTCACATTATGTGATTAGTTATTATGGGGCGGGTATCGAGGTGATTCAGATGGACAACATGACTTACAGAATGCCGCAAAATGATTGGAAGGCCGAATTATGATTTTTTTGAGTAATTGATATTACTACTAACTCTTAAGGTGACATCAGGTGATGATACAGCTGATAGCTACTTTTCCATCTTAGGGTTGGATAGCAAGAAGGGACACAGTGTGTGCATAAATGCCAACAGGCAGAGGCTAACTTCTGCTTCTTGGCCTAGACAGTGTGGAAAATCTACCCCATTGCAGTTGACAGAAGTGCTATTATTGTGAATGAAGTGGGGGTTGTGAGTGAACATGATGTGATGGGATTTTGAACTGTGTTATATTGAAGGTAACAAATTTTATGATATCTGTTACATTTTCTCTTTCTGATTGGCTATAACATTATTTATTTTTATTTTTTTGCAATGTCTGAATTGAATTAACTTTTACCAATACAGACTTTATATATTTTTGAAATTTAAGTGTTCATACAAAAAACTTGAGAAATGCATCAGTCATTATACCTTTTTTGTATTTTCAGATCTTTAATGTTATTAAACAATATGTCTTGAAAACTATGTGTCATTCATCTGTAGTGTGTTCAAAAACAAAATTTTAAGGCTTTTCATCTGGGTATTTTATTGATTTTACTGGTTATAAGATTGAATTTGAGAACAAAAGGCTGTATTTTCTTATGATACACAAAATAAAATGGTGAGAGATTTGAATTTTGTTTTAGTTCATCTGCCTGAAAATATCAACCTACAATGCAGTATATGTTTACTTCTTGGTAAGGCAATATTTTTTCCAGATATTGCTGATAAAATCTTTAAACTAAAATGTATAGAACTTGAAGGAGT